TCTTAAGTGTTTCATGTAGAGATGGTTTTGTGGCTGCATAAGTTCTTAGGGATTGGATATCTGGGAAAGATTTTAATTCTCCCTCACTGATGAAGCTTAGCTTGGCTGGGTAGGTTATTCTTGGTTGAAATTGTTTATCCTTTAGGACTTTGAAGATAGGGCTCCAAGCTCTCCTAGCCTGCAGGGTTTCTGCAGATAAATCTGCTGCTATTCTGATTGGTCTTCCATGGTGGGTGATCTGGCCTTTTTCTCTTGCTGCCTTTAGGATTTTTTCTTTTGTGCCTACTTTATTTAGGCGAATTATTATGTGTCTAGGAGTTGGTCTTCTCATTTGTTGTCTTGCGGGGGTTCTCTGAATCTCTTGTGTTTGAATTTTTGTGTCACTGATTAGATAAGGGAAATTTTGTTGAATGATCTCGTGGAAAGTTTGTTCCAATGTGGTCTCTGTTTCTCTTTCTGCCTCAGGTTGTCCGATTATTCTTAGGTTAGGCCTCTTGAGGAAGTCACTCATCTCTTGAAGGTTTTGTTCTATCTTTTTAGCTTATTTTCTGTGTTTTAAGAGTTGGGTTATTTCTATATTTTGGTCCTCAAGCTCTGAGATTCTTTCTTCTGCTTGGGTAATTCTGCTTTCCATGCTTATCAATTTGTTATTTATTTCATTCACAGTATTCTTTATTACTGTTATCTCAGATATCAGCTCCTTCCTAGTTTCTTCTTGTGTCTCCTCAACTCTTTTTAATGTCTCCATTATTGTTTTGATATCTACATTTGCATTTTGAGATCCTTCATTCTGGGGACTTTTCATTGTTTATATTCCAAAGTCAGTTTTCTCAGTGTCTGCTCTCCCAGGCATCTGGGAGAAACCCATACTCTTCTTTTGTTTTTTCTTCATTTCTGTAGATTTTTCTCCCTTTACCCCTTTCCCTCCCCCTCTTCAATTCTGTTTTTGAGGGAAGGTGGGGTTGCTTTTATTTCTCTTCTGCAATGACCTGTTCTTCCTTATGAGGGTCTTCTGGTTTTGGTCACTTTTCCCTCTGCTTTACAGTCTGTCTATTCAGCAGTTTGCAGTCTTGGTCCGTTCAGAGAATCTCACCAGTTCACCTATGCCGTCGCCATCTTGCCCCGTCTCCTCCTCGAGATTCTTGATCATAGACTAAGTAGGACAAGGAATGAGTTAATGCCATAGAAAATATACTTAGGAAATAGATAAATAGTGTGAAAATAAACATAAGAAAGGAAGTCTAGTTAATGGAGGAAGGGTTTGGAGAGGGGTGGTATATATAACTAATGAATCTTTCAGATTCGTCTTTTATCTAAATTAAATTTTGTGTATAATGTCAATGCCTAAAACGTCTTAGACTCTCAGGCTGAAATCAATTAAAATGCTGACGAGCTTTATGTGGGCCTGGGGCATGGTAAGAGTGTTTGGGTCTGATTTTGTTTTATATTCTACTTAGAATGGTTGTGTATCTCCACATAGCACCTGTCCCTTCCCAAACATTTGTCGGTTCATCAGCAGCACACAACAGCTTCTTTCCTACTTGAAAGTCAACATTAATTTTCAGTTTGGAGATAGGCGTCTGAGCCGAAACTGGTAGCCCGAGAAGACAACGCCGGGCTTTAAATATCCAGAGTGGGCCATTGGCCGAGATGCCACCATGAAGAAGCTGCTGTTGCACGCCTGCTGTGCAGAATCGTGGAAAACGGAACCGGTCTGACCCTAACTCTTCACTGTCTTCTCTCCTTAGTGGCATTGGCCGGAACTGGCCCTGGGCCTCTGGAGGCAGCAGCATCCTGGCGGAGTTCGGGACCCTGCACTTGGAGTTCATGCACTTGAGCCACTTGTCAGGAAACCCCATCTTTGCCGAGAAGGTGAGCGTCTCCAAGCAGCACTCAAGGGACAGCATCCTCTCCTGGGAGAGTGGTAGCCGGGGATGTGGAAATAACAACCGGGTGGACGTAGCTCTTTCTGGAGTCTGGCAGCAGTCTTTCCGTGGCACCCCGCTCTTGTGGGGAGGGGACCCGCCTTCCACAGCTGGTCCTCTACCTGCCGTAAGTTACTGGACCCGTCTGAACTTTGTTTCCTTATCTAAAAATGTTTCGTAGTGTCTGGACTGTGTGAACCAAGTATGGAAAAGACAAACCCAGAGTGCTGTTCAAATGTGATGCCACAGTTAAGTTGGTCTGCCATTTTCGGGAAGCAAACCCGTAGGCATTTGCGTGAATTCGTGCCCCCGCCCCGCCACTCTGCCTTTGTTTCCAACCTTCTTTTCGACTTCCTTTTACAGCGAGATTCCTTGAAAGCCTTGTCTCTGTGTGTCACCTTCTCTCCTAGCCTCTCAAATCCCTCTGAGAGGCTTTTTCTCCAGCCAGGCCATCCCAGTGGTCCAGGGTCCGTCACCTCTCACCTGGACTCTGCGGTAGCCAACTGGCCACCATGTCTCTCTGGCCCTCAGTCTTCCCATGGTGGCCTGTGAGGCCTGGGCGGCGAGGCCCTGGCTCTCCTGGGCGCCGCTCACTGGCCCCTCCTCTCTGCCCCTTCACCTCCAGCCTCAGTGGCCTGGCCCCACCCACTTGCCTCAGGGCCTTTGTGTCTGCTCCTTGCCTGTTGGGCTGGCTCTTCCTCCACGCGTGTGTGGCCTGTGCCCTTGCCATCCCCGAAATGCCTCTGAGGCAAGTGTCGTCTGGGCCTCTTCCCTTGGGCGTAGGCAGCCACTGTCCCCCTGTGCACTCAGTGACCTCTTCTCTGTGCTCAGAGGGAAGGAAGGGGGGGTCTCTCTTGTGTCTCTTCTTAGAAGGGCGCTAATCCCATTTTGCAGCCTTTGTCCTCAGGACCTAATTGCCTTCCAAGGATAGACTGTATATTTGACAGTGGTCCCGTAAGATTATAATGGAGCTGAAAAATTCCTATAGCCTAGTGGCGTCATAGCTGTCATAACCCTCACAGCACTGTGCATGATCACACATTCGAGGTGATGCTGATATAAACAGATCTGCTGCTCTGTCAGTCATGTAAAAGTCTAGGATGTGCAGTTATGGACAGAACATAATATTAGATAAATAGACAACTGTGTTACTGGCTTATGTATCCGCTACACTGTACATTTTTTTTTTGAGTTGGAGTCTCACTCCGTTGCCCAGACTGGAGTGCAGTGGCCGCTCCCGACCACCGCAGCCTCGCCTGCTGCGCTCTGGCGATCCTTCTGCCTCAGCCTTCCGAGTAGCCGGAATTACAGGCACGCGCTACCATGCCCGGCTGATTTTTTGATTTATTGTAGAGATGAGGTCTCACTGCCCAAGCGGGTCTCGAACCTGCGGGCTCAGGCAATCCACTCACCTTATTTTTTAATTTTATTGTAGAGACAAGGTCTCGCCAAGTTGCCCGGGCTGGTCTCGAACCCACGGGTTCAGGCAAGCCACTCGCCTCAGTCTCCCAAAGTGCTAGGATTACAGACTGGGCCACGGAGCCTGGCCTACACTGTACTTTTAATTGTTATTTTAGAGTGTATTCCTTCTACTTATAGAATAGAAAGTTAACTGTGAAACAGCCTCAGGCAGGTCCTTCTGGGATGTTCCAGAAGACGGCACCCTTGTCGTGGGAGAGGACAGCACCGTGCCTGTTACTGCCCCTGCAAGCCTTTCAGGGGGACCAGATGTGGCGGCAGAAGAAGTCATATCAGGGATCCTGACCCCGGGTAGGCCTGGGCAGGTGTGTGTGTTTGTGTCTTAGTTTTAAAAGTTCTAAAGTTTAAAAAAAAAATTTTTTTTTAATTTAAAGATAGAAAAAAGCTTATAGATAAGGATATAAAGAAATAAAATAGGTCGGGTATGGTGGCTCAAGCCTGTAATCCCACTACTTTGGGAGGCCAAGACAGGAAGATTGCATGAGCCCAGGGGTTCAAGACCAGCCTAGGCAACTTGGTGAGACCTCGTCTCTACAATTAAAAGAAAAAAAATTTAGCTGGGTGTGGTAGCGTGCACCTGTAGTTCCAGCTACTTGGAAGGTTGAGGCGGAAGGTTGAGGCGGAAGGATCACCTAAGCCCAGCAGGTCAGCGCTGGAGTGGCCATGAGCGTGCCACTGCTCTCCAGTCCGGGTGACAGAGTGAGACTCTGACTCAAAAAAAAAAAAAAAAGAATGAAAATATTTTTGTGCAGCTGTACAGTGTCTTCATGTTTTAAGCTAAATGTTATTACAAAAGTCAAAAAGTTTTTAAAAAGAAGATTTACAAAGTAAAAATTATAGTCAGCTAAAATTAATTATTGAAGAAAGAAAAATTTTTTTATAAATGTGGTGTAGGCTACGTATGCAGCGTTTATAAAGTCTATAGTGTTGAACAGCAACGTCCTAGGCTTCGCACCACTTGCCACCCACTTACTGACTCACCCAGAGAAACTTCCAGTCCTGCTAGGTCCACTCTTGGTAAGTGCCCTCTCCGAGTGGACCATTTTTTATCTTTTACGCCATATTGTTACTGTGTCTTTTCTGTATTTAGATATAGAAATATTTTGGTACAGAAGCATGCTGTACAGATTTGTATCCTGGAGCAATAGGCTTTATTATATAGCCTAGGCGTGTAGCAGGCTAGGCCATCTGGGTTTGTGTAAGTATGATGTTCATTCTATGATGTTCACACAACAGCATCACCTAACTACACATTTGTCAGAAGGTATCCTCATTGCTAAGCCATGCGCGACTGTTTATTTATTTACTTATTTATTGTTTGCTTGTCTCAGCCCACTAGAATGCAAAATTCCAAAAGGGTAGTGACTGTGCTTATCCACTGATGTTTCCTTAGTTCCTATCGTGGCATCTGGCATATGGCAGATAATCAATGCAACTGTATTCACTTAGCTGCCGTTATTTGTGTAATGACAGTAAGCTGACAGCAACTATCTTTGTTCTAACTCTGTATCCCCTGAATCAACTTATTTGTTCTATTATAGAATGGGGAAAAAAAGATAGTCAAGAAAGAGAGAAGAATGGCATGAAAATTGTTTTTTAGACTTTCATAGTAACATTTTCTATTCCTATTGTAGGTAATGAATATTCGAACAGTACTGAACAAACTGGAAAAGCCACAAGGTCTTTATCCTAACTATCTGAATCCCAGTAGCGGACAGTGGGGTCAACGTAAGTCAAAAAATGAGCATTCTCACTGTTCTTTGTGGTACTGTGCAAGTGGCGGGGGCGGGTTGGGGGAAGGCCGTGTACATTTGTTGAGAAATGTTTAGAAAAGGAGCAAAGTGCATGATTCCTTCAATAGGTTTCTGTCCTAAGACAGCCTGTATTATCAGGAAACAGGACTGTTTGTTTTTCATGTCTAACAGTAAGTACGATGACATAGAAGCACATTTAAAGCCGTTAATCGGAAAGGGATGATCTGGACACGTGGCCTGGGAATGTGAGCCTGTTGCAGGCTGGTCATGTGGACAGGAAGAAAACTTACTCCTTTGTGCTCGTGACTATGAGGGTCTTGCACACAGCAGCAGGTCACTCTGCTTCCTAATGGTCTCTAGTTCTGCTTAGTTTTAGGACGAGAGAGAAGTCTGAATCTCTCAGAGTTGGGAAATTAGAAGAGCAAGCAGGGTATTTTCTCTACTTCACTTTAAACCTCCAGGTAGAGATTCCCTGCCAGTCATTACTTTTAGGAGAGGGGAAAGTGCTGTACAAGGACTTCTGATGCCGGAAGCCTGCACTTAAGACCTTTAAGACAGTTTTGACCAGGGCATAAATATTCAGAGTACTTGAAAGAAATGGGCTGATCTGGAAAAACAGTGGCAAATAATGACAACGGGAAGCAAGTGAAGATATTAAGTGAGCTGTCTCAACATCTTGCTGTGATTTGGGTTTTTCTTTGTACTTGAACGTCATATTCTTAGATGCTTCGTTGTGACTTTGGAAGTCCTCTTCTTAAAGAATAATGTAGTAGAAAAGAATGTGCTAAGACCCTCATCCATGTGTTGGCAATCGCTATGAAAGGCCTTACTATTGGAATCTTAGGACTCTGATCAAAGTTGCCACTCACCTAAGTGTGGTCTAGGATCACTGGGAGTCCTTGAGACCTTTCATGAGGCCCACAAGACCAAAACCAGTTTTATTATGATACTGAGACTTTCTACCTTTTTCACGGTGTTGACATTGGTGCCTATGTTGCCAAAGCAATGGTCGATAAAACTACTGAAACCTCAGTGAGAACCAAGGCAAACACCAGATAGCATTCGTATTCACGGTATTCTTCACCACAGTTAAAAAAAAATGCCAGTTTCACTTACAAATGTGTTTCATGGCACAGTAAAGAAAGTATTGATTCTGGGAAATATCACCCCTTGAGGATAAGTCTTTGTGGCGTTCTGTGTGATGAAACAGAAAGTGCTGGCAAATCCCTCCTGCTGCATTAGGAAAAACGGTAATTGCCTCAGGAAGAGCTCTTGCGTGATTGAGTTGCAAGCTGAACTAGCCACTTGCTGTTTCATGGATCACTTTCCCTTGAAAGAACTACTGAAACAGATTGGTTATTTAGACTTGGTGAATCAGTAGACTTCTTCTCAAAAATGAGTCTATTACTTCAAGAAAAGGTGACAATATTTGTGCCAACAATGATAAAATCTGAGTTTTTGTTTTTTGGATTTTTTTGAGTTGGAGTCTCACTCTATCACCCAGGCTGGAGTGCAGTGGCAAGCTCATGGTCACCCCAGCGTTGACCTACTGGGCTCCGGCAATCCTTCCGCCTCAGTCTTCCAAGTAGCTGGAACTACAGGCACGCCCTGCCATGCCCGGCTAATTTTTTTTTTTTTAATTTACTGTAGAGATGAGGTCTTGCCAACTTCCCCAGGCTGTTCTTGAACCCACAGGCTCAGGCAATCCTCCCACCTTGGCCTCCCAAAGTGCTGGGATGACAGGCTGAGCCACCAAACCTGGCCAAGATCTGAATAAAACTTAGAATTTCTAAATAAAACTTAGAATTTTGAAAAACTTATACATGCCACCATTAGCTTGACATGAATACTTTTCTGGTAAGATTGGTGGTGATATTAATAAATGTGGTTTTCTAATTTCACATAATGTAATATGTCAATATCTGGAAGAGCTACATAATTTAGTGTATCAATATTTTCCAAATGACCAATGCATGATGTTAAAAAAGTCATGCATGGGAAAAGACCCATTCAAAGCACAAGATAGACCAATATATTTCAAAGTGACAGAAGACAAAAAAATGTATTGATGTAATTTCTGATTTCACATTGCAGCTAACCTTCAAAAAAACTTAGACCGTTAAGAAGCTGCTTGTCAAGTTTTGTTGTAGTATCAAAGAAAAATATCCACAAGTATCTGAAGAGAATATTACCATTAAAATACTCTTTCCATCTGCATAACTGTGTGAGGCTGACTTGTCTTCATATATTTCAGCCAAAACACCATATTGCAATGGATTGAAAGTAGAGCAGATAGGAGAACCCAGCTGTCTTCTAGTAAGGAAAGCATTAAAGAGATTTGCAGAAACGTAAAGCTATGTCAGTCTTTAAGATTTAGAAGTCGCTATGAAGAAGAACAGAAGGAGTCGACTGCACTGGAACATCTCGGCTTCACGTTCTGGTCACCCATACACCTTGCACTTGGCCATGTTTCCCGGGACAGGCCAGTTTCCTGACAGGAAAACAAGCAGGATTGATGAGCCTCATATCTGTCTCCTCCACCATGCCCGTACTATATTCCAACCACAAGGAAGACACACTTCTTCACTCTCCAGTCTCAGCCTGCTTGGCCACGTTTAGGGCTGGACTTGTGCCGTTTCTCAGCCCTGCCACCTCTCTCCTTCCTCCGACCCAGCTCCACTGCCATTTCTTGCAGGGGCCACCTTCTTCCAGGCCCTGGTTGGAATTTATTAGAGTCCACTCCTCGCTGTTTCTCCCTCCCTGCCCATCACTTTGGGCCGTTTCTTATCCTGATGATTCATGTGCATGCCTGTTTTCCTGAGGATCTGAAGTGTGTGAGGATGGTAGCCATTATCTAAGTCGTATTCGTTTACACGGTTCACAGGATCTTGCGCCTCGGAGGTGCTTGTGTACTTAGATTGGGTGAGCACGCATGCGCTTTGTATCTGATCTGTCATTCTGCCTCTGTTTCTTGTAATGGTTCTGTGTATTCTCCTTTAGCAATTGTTCCTGCTCCTCGGTTGGTTGGGCTGAGAGGCAGTATCTGGTCCTAGTCACCAATAATATACACAGGCCTTACATCCATTGAGGCCAGGTGTAGGGTCCCAATCTGTAAAATACAGAACATGTGTCACCCTTTGATTTGTATAACACCAGCCAGCTAGCTAGCTAGCTGTCCATTTCTCCATCCATCCAGCCATCTATCTATCCATCTGCCTATGCATAGTGTCACTGGCATCCCTGGGGCATTGCTTCCAGAAGGGAAATTTAAATTCAGAGGAAGTCTACACATATGCAAAAATGGAGATATTGAGTCTTTTAATTCTTCCTTGTATTGGGTCTATTCCTATCATGAAGGAACAAATAAATTACCCTTTCATAGACAAGCATACTATTTGAGTGACTGCAGTACACCTTAGCTTTAGAGCAGCTGGACATAAAAAAAAATACCATATATGTTCTTTCAAAATGTAGGTGGTCCTTCCCTGCCGAAAGAATCAGGCGTGTTCGCTCCCACATCCATTAAGATGTTCACACAGGACTCTTCGTCAGTACAAACAGCCATGCAGACCTGAAGGAAGCTTAGTGAGCGGCCTGCTAAATTGTCAAAAAGCTAGGTCTCTACTCTGAGTTCCTCTGTTTGGTTTTTTCCAATCGTGAGATTTTTATAGGCAGGAAATTAAAAAAATTAGGAAACTAGCACTTGCCAAAATTAGCTAAAACAACTGTATCATTATGTAACCCTTTTTCCTTTAAAAAAAAAAAAAAAAAACCAAGTGCCCAAACCTGCTTCCTCCATCCACGCAGAATCATGACCCAGAGGGAGGAAAACTCCAAGCTGCTTTTGGCAGCTGGCTCTCAACTCCCATTGCCCTAACTCTGAAGGACACCTCTGGATCACGGCCGTCATCCCTGTTACCTCATGGAGTCCCTGTTGTCGTGACAGTACCAAGCTGTGCTTGCGTCACCATGCGTCACTTGCATTTGTTTCCTGCCGTCACGTTGATAGCAACAGTGTTTATTATTGAAGGGACAGTATTTACTCTGTGCAGTGTGTAAATGTCAGAGGTTTCCGGGGAGATGTATTTAGGAAACAATGAAGGTCACTCCAACCACTACTGCTTTAAGAATCAGACTTGCGATTTTAAAAACACATTTGTACGTTAACATTAAAACTGTAATTCTGGACTTTCTGCAATAAGAAAATCACATATTTGACAAATTAAAAATAATGACCCTTCTAGCTGGGACGGGTGTAGTCCTTATTAAGGTCGACGTAGACGAATGCTGCTTTGCTCGTCACTCGGTCATTGAGTACCCGCCACATGCATGACCCTTTCTAGAGGCTGGTGGACGAGGCAGCGGGATAGGTCTGGTCTCTACCCTCTGGGATCATGATCTCGTGGAGGAGACAGAAGAAAATTCTACCACATTCCGAAATTGCAAGTTTGGTTAATGAGCGCTGTCCGAAGGAATGTGACAGGCAACCTAGTGTGGGTGTTCGAGGAAGCCTCTTTGAGGAAGGGCCATGTGATCCCAAACATAAAGCTTGAGGAGGAATTTGCAAAGGACGGGAAAGGGGTCCTGGAGGGCGTGGAGGCCGGAAGAGCAAGCCCTGCCTTGCCCTGGAGTGGGGGGGAGGGAGGAGCCTTGTAGTCTTGAGGAACCCAAGGAAGGGCTGTCTGGCAAGCAAGCAGAGCGCGTGTGGCCCAACACTGATGACGGACAGAGGATGGATCTTGCAGGGCAGCCGGTCTCCAGAGACCCCAGGGCTGAAAGGCCTCAAGAAAGCGGTGGCCAGAGCCTCACGGTGAGAGGGCCACTCCGACGCTGAAGGGCACTGCCACTCAAACCCCCTGCGGTGTGGAAAATGCCTTCCCCACCCAGAATAGCCAGCAAGGGCCCCCTCTCGCTATCGAGCACCAGTATGGCCGAGGAACTGGATTTTTTGTCTATTTCAGTTAGCTTAAATTGAAATAGAACATGCTACCGGAGTGAAAGCAAGAAACCGGATAACTGGCCGTTGGAGACTTGGGGGCAGCTGGTGGTGGCTTGAGCCAGGGTCACATTGGTGAGGACAGAGCCGGGGGGATGGACTCAAGCCATACGCAGGAAGTAAAATGAGCAGACTTTGGCAACCTGCGCCGAAAGGACGATGGAGACCGTAACCGAAGGTGGAGAAGTTTTGGTTTTAGGCTTGCTAGAGTTGCTGGGTAGAAATCAAGAGAACTGACAGCAGTGTAAATACTGATTTCCTTTTGTAAAATTAAGTCAACAAATAAAAGTTTTATTTTGAGCATAAGTAAATAAAATCGGTTTTGAGGTATGAAATTTAAAATGCTGTCTTATTTTTGTTAGGTTTTTTTGGGGGGTGGGGGTTTGAGTTGAGGTTTCACTCCATCGCCCAGGCTAGAGCATAGTGACAGGATCACGACTCATCACCACCTCAAACTCCTGGCTCGACTGATCCTCCCATCTCAGCCTCCCAAGAAGCTGGGACGGCAGCTTGAGCCACCACGCCCAGCTAATTGTTTTTCTGAATTTTTTTTTTTTTTTTTTGGTAGAAATTAGGTTTCACTCTGTTGCCCAGGCTGGTCTTGGACTCCTGGACTCAAGCAATCCTCCCCCCTCGCCTCCCAAAGTACTGAGATTTTACAGGCATGAGCCACTGCCCCTGTCCAAAGGGCTCTCTTGTTAATGCTCACTTCTTCTGAATTCTAGGAACTGTGTTTCAAATAGATAGTATCTCTGTTTTTGTAAGCAAACGTGCTGGTAAAATAAAAGTATTAATTCAAGCAATAATCAAAAGAATACACTTCATACTATAGGATAGACAGCAAGCAGATCCTGACGTGAGACTCTGTGCAGGAGCGGGGCCAGATGGCTCTTACCAACACTGTCCTTTCATTTGGCCTCTGTAAGCTTCAGTTTCCTCGCTTTGACAATGACACTACCTATCCTGCAGTCGCAGGATTGCTGGAGACAGAGGAATGAGTCGGGCATGACAATGGCAGTGGGCGTGGATTGTGGTAGGAGAGTGGGGGGAGACTTCTGCCCTGGCTTCTTTCTGACCACCCCGCCCCTGAGACTTCTGACCCTTCAGACTGGTAACACTGGAAACCTTACCAAACATCCGTAGTAAATTATTATTAGTGGTAAATTATTAATAAATTATTAATAAATAAATAATAAATAATTAGTAAAGGCAGGAACCTGAGGAGCTTCTTATTTATTTATTGCAAGCCACTTTTTAAAAAGGATTTGCTCATACTCATAGCTTTGACAGAATTTCATATTATTCAGAACTAAAGCAAATAAAAATGAACTTAAGTCTATACAGTCAAATATTTTAGTTTGGTGTTTTTCACTAGAGAACCAGATTTTTAGAATCAGAGGTGATTACATATATTTTATCTTCATGTTTACAGAACTACTGTGGTAATTATTTAGAGTATAGCACATCAGTTAATAGCCCATCTGCTCATTCCAGAACATCTTTCTGAAAATAAGAGATCTGTTGGAATTTAAATGTAACAGTGACTTGCTGTTGACACAGGGTTTTGCATCCTTGTTGCTAATGTGATTTTGCTGCATTATCTGAATTAAAAGCAGCATCGCTTTGAAATTCATTTCCCTCCCTTTCCAGATCATGTATCAGTGGGAGGACTTGGAGACAGCTTCTATGAATATTTGCTCAAGGCATGGTTAATGTCCGACAAGACAGATCTAGAAGCTAAGAAGATGTATTTCGATGCCATTCAGGTAACCCAATGTTTAAATCATCTTTGCTACTCACCTCTAACTTCTGATGTGCATATTAATCAAGTTTTAATGAAAAAATGAAATGCCACATGAGGAGGTTACAAAATATTTCCAGTTAGGCAGAGTTCAGCATCCACTAATATAATCATAACGATAGCAATCATACCTGATATGTTCATTTCTAATAGGGCAGTTAAAAGTTTTTTACAGCCGGGCTTGGTAGCTCAGCCTGTAATCCCACGCCTTTGGGAGGCTGAGGTGAGTGGATTGCCTGAGCCCATGGGTTCGAGACCCACCTGGGCAGTGAGACCTCATCTCTACAATAAATCAAAAATTCAGCTGGGCGTGGTAGCACATGCCTGTAATTCCGGCTACTCGGAAGGCTGAGGCGGAAGGATTGCCGGAGCCCAGCAGGTCGAGGCTGCGGTGGCCGGGAGCAGCCACTGCACTCCAGTCTGGGTGACAGAGTGAGACTCCGACTCAAAAAAAAAAGTTTTTCCATGGTTCAAACCTCAGTTAAAAGTCACATCTGAAAAAGAGGTGTTCTTTTACAAATAGGGGTTCCCTCCTTAGAACCACAATTAAAACTGTGGGACAAAAAAATCCTAGATTTGTATTCTGAAAATGGGCTAAATTAAAATTGCCCCAGATTACAGACGGTGCCAATGGCTACCTCCATATAAACTAAACTTGTCTCCAGAAATATATAGACAGTTCTCTGAGGAAATCCCCATGTGAAAATCTGAGCAAATTAATTTTTAAGGGAAGGTCACTAATCATTTCAAAGATCCTTTATGATGGAGGCGAAATGAGAGGGAACAGACGTGTGTCGAGTTGTCCCCTGTGTGGACAATTAAATTAAGTGGCAGGGTTGTTGTTTTCTTGTCGGTTTTTTGGTTTGTTTTTTTCTCCTCACAGTACTTTAGATATTACTCACCCAATGTTACCGATATGGTTACTAAACCCGAGAGAGATTAGGTGTGGAACCAAAATTCAGACTAAAATTTGTCTGTGTCAATACCTGTCCCTTTTAACTTTAGCCCTTTGGATTTATTTGTGAATAAGAATTTCCTTACTACATATAGTAAGTCAGTAAGGTAAGTTAGAAACTACTTAGCAAAGTCTATAGGGGTGACCAGCGTAAAAGTGAACTAAAAAAACTTACAAGTAAGCCCCAATCAAAAATGAAAATAAAGTTAGAAAGTAAATAAACTCAAGAAGAAAATTATTTTATATAACATACTTGAACTTGTACCCAACTTTTTAGGAACAAAATTTTTTTTAGCAGAATCAAGTGCCTTTATGATTGGTAAGTATTTTATGTATATATATGTAATTTAATATTAGTTGTTAAGGTCTCTCAAATAATGTAAAATTGTGGCTAAATCCTAAAAAAAAAAAAAATTGACCTTTTTCTTGACTACTTGGAAATTTGTTCATAATCAAAGTTAATTTATAAGAAAAAATGAAAATTTGCTGTCGCAATGATGTAGCTATTGTAGAGTTGGTTTGGGTGATTTTGATGTAGGCCAATTTATTTATTTAACTATAGTTGCAGCCTGCTTTGCTCTGGTTAACTGGGTTGAGCATAACCTTGGCATCCTCTCAGGGTCATCTGGGAGCTTCACTAAGCAAGCACATCCCAAGTCTTCGCTGCTTCGCATACAGGGGCCAGAAGCACGGTGTTAGAACATTGGCCTGCATTGGGCACGGCCTTTATTGAGGCACACATTGCATATCAAAAGCAAGCGAGAGTGGGATCCACGTGACCTCTTCAGGTCCACTTGACCTCGTTCCTATGAGGTTTCGGGTTTTAACCTAGGGGATTGGTCTTCGCATATTAGAGTTTCCATTCTCTCATCTTCTAATTACTGTTCTGGCAGACATTTTAATTATTCTGATCTTAAAGTGATCCTCTAAGATCTTTTTTTTTCTTTTTTTTTGAATCAGAGTCTCACTCTGTCACCAGGTTGGAGTGCAGTGGCACACTACAGCCACCCTAGCATCAACCTGCTGGGCTCCTGCGATCCTTCTGCCTCAGCCTTCCAGGTAGCTGGAACTACAGGCGTGCACCACCATGCCCTGCTCATTTTTTAAAACTTATTGTAGAGATGAGGTCTTGCCAAGTTGCCCAGGCTGGTCTCAAACCCTTGGACTCAGGCAATCCTCTCACCTCAGCCTCCCAAAGTGCTGGGATTACAAGCTTGAGCTGCTGTGCCCGACCTCTTAAGATCTTGATGTTTCTGAAAGGCAGCTTTAAAATATGTGAAACATTTTCTCCCCAGTTTTTAACACTATACCCATACAACTTTTAGCATTTTGTATTTAGACAAGTTATTGACAGGAAAATCCATTAAGAACAAATGGAATCAAAAGCTTTCCTGCTTGTCTTAATAATAAAACTAATTTTTAATCTCTTGTGTGTTTTCAACTTAGAAAGCAAAGCTAGAACAACTAAATGTCTGATTTCAAGAAGTAGCTATGTCTAACATGGCAAAGTCTCTTTCTGCTAAGGCGTTAAAAATCTTTAAAAGATCGTCGGTACCAGGGAGAGGATGCCTTACGTTATTGTTTTGGAGAGTTGAGTTCCTGGAGATCGGTTACTCAGCTTTGGTGTCAAATGGACTTTAGAAAGCATCTAATCCCAAGGTGGCATTTTTGTTGTTTTAATAGCAAAATATGTTGAGCTTTCAGCTGGCTACTATGGCCCTGTCTGGACGCCACACCGCGAATCCACGGCCATGAATGATACCCAGACAGGTGAATTGCCAGACGTTTAGGGCTCCGAAGGCTTCATCAAGCCCATTTGATTGTCACATACAGAAGGGTGAAATCACAAAACGCACAATATTATTTTTTCTTAATTAATTCTCTGTGCCTTGACATAAGTTTTCTAGAGCCTCTCAGGGCTGTTTCTCCTTCTTTGTACTTAGTTACATTTTCCTATGGCCACACAAAACCATTGCTTTGAAGGTCTTGGGACTCACTGTAGTTTACACTGAGTGGTAGCAGCTTGGTCAGAATCGTGCCAAAAATAATGTGGTGCTTTATTTAGGATCTGTAACAGAGTATTAATGTTTCTCTAATTCATGCTCAAAAGCTATTACTCTTGCCATGTGGAAGGAACAATTTCTTGGGTGATGAACAAGTATCTGCTTGAAGGACTTTACGGCGATTTGTGTTATGGGAAGTGTAAATAGCTAAGATGTTCAATTGCATTAAATGCGAATAAACATTAGTATAAGAACTAAACTCTCAATAAAATGAGCTTGACCATAGTTAATGAGCACAGTAGCATGTTCATTTATCTCTTACCATCTTGGTTTCATTTGTTTATTTCTAATGAGGGTAAGGGAGTTTTTTATCAGCCCGTGTATTCATTTTCATTCATTCTTCTCTGTCACAAGTTTTTTTGTGTGTGTCTGCTATTCCCAAATGTGCTTCCTAAAATTCTGCTTTTTTGATAGCAGTGTAAATGTGTAGATTGTCGTATCCTTTTTCCTCTTATGAAGTGAATGAGGAGGGGGACATTTTCTCTTAGAGTAATTGGAAATTAGCAATTCCAAACACGCTTCATTTTTGCCTTTTAAAATGTCATATTACTCTGTCTAGTTTAAAAGAATATCAGCATCCTGATACAAAAATAAAAGCTGTTTAAAAATCCTTTTGTAAACATTATCATTTGTCCCAAATTTAAAGATCTTTATTCTTTTTCTAAAAAACAAATATGCTCGATATAGACCAGCATGCTTTTTAATAGAATTTTAGAGAGGAACTTGATTCAAATTTCATCACATTGGAAACTTGAATGGGAATAAGTGACCTTTACGAAGCGCCACTGGCAGTGCTGACTGCTTCATAAACAGACAGTGTGGCAGAGTCCTCTCAGGACATACGGCTATTCCCATTTTATGGATGAGGACAGTGATATTTAGGGATACACAGCAGGCAAGTCACCCGCTCTCAAAAATCACTCAGCAGAAGGTATCAGAGCTGGGATCTGAAGCCAAGCCGTCTGACTCCGCTGCATCTTGCTACATCCAGAGCCCCAGGAAGAAGAATCTGCCAGCCTGGATCCCACCCACAGATGTGCCTGTTCTTCATCCATGTTAGGGCCTAGGCTCTGTGTTGTGTTTCATTTGTGAAAATGAAAATGCCCTAAGCCCACAATTACCCCCGCACCCATGGCCTGTCTTCAGGAAGGGGATGGCTTTTTGGATCTATGGAGTGTGAGTGTTTGGTCATGGAGCCCAGCAAACCCACTGGCTGCCCATCAAATCAGTTCTCACTAACAAAACTAATAAGATGTGACTAGAGGGGAAACATGGAAAGCAGTCGCATAGAATTTCAGGTTGGGTTGGGTTTATAGCGCCAGACTCAGTCTGTGAGTCGTGTGTTGTTGTTGTTGTTGTTGTTTTAATGTCGGGGTATTTCTAATGTAAATCTGAGAAGAGACTAGAGATTGTTAAAAACAAGTATTTTTCTCAGGCCATCGAGACTCACCTGATCCGCAAGTCCAGCAGCGGCCTCACCTACATCGCGGAGTGGAAGGGCGGCCTCCTGGAGCACAAGATGGGCCACCTGACCTGTTTTGCGGGAGGCATGTTTGCGCTTGGGGCGGATGGCGCTCCCGAGGGCCTGGCCCAGCACTACCTTGAACTTGGTGCCGAGATTGCGCGCACCTGCCATGAGTCTTACAACCGGACATGTGAGTATGTTCTTCACTCGTGGTCTGTTCCCACGTGCTTTGATTTCATTCCATAAGGAACTTGGCTGTTGCTGCCATCAGAAGAACAGCCACTGTGCCTTTGTGACTTGGAGATCATGGTTAATATCTTAATGGGACCTATAGTTTTGCTTAAAAGGCACTGCTTTTCTGCCTAAAATTATCTACCTTAGTTTGCCAGAAAACAATAATCCAGGCCATACAGGTTAAGCCAGCCTAAGTTACTGACCTTTGCTTTTGCCAATAACATTGGGTAAGGGTCTCTCTCCCGGTGCAAAAAGTACTTAGCATTTTGTAAACCATTGCTAAGCTTCCCCAAATCTCCCGTGAAATAAACCATGAATCTGCCTTCCTTTTTACAAAATATAAATTTGAAGCACAAAGATTAAATAATTGGCCTTTTATGACAAAATGACTTAGAAACACCAACCACTGCATTGCTAGCTAGTTAATTAGGTATCTTGCAGTGCTTTGCACCTACCTGAAGAGTGCTTAGTAAATGGGGGTTAAATGAAAAAAAAATAAAGAATTGTTACTATTTGATAAAATGGACTCTAGGCTGTGTTCAGTGGCTCATGCTTGTAATCCCAACATTTTGGGAGGCTGAGGTGGGAGGATCACTTGAGTCCAGGGGTTCAAGACTAGCTTGGGCAACATAGCAAACCCCATCTCTACCCAAAAAAAATGTTTTTAGAAATTAGCTAGACATGGTGGCAGGTGCCTGTGGTCCTAGCTCCTCAAGAGGCTGAGGTGGCAGGATTGCTTGAATCCAGGAATTCCAGTGAGCTGTGATCATGCCACTGCACTCCAACCTGAGCAAAAGAGTGAGACCCTGTCTCAAAAAATAATAATTTTTAAAAATTAATTTTTTTAAAATGGACCTTTGAGAAGACCAAATTTTAAAAGCATGTTGAGTATTATATATCACGTGATGTTTATAACCGTTTCTAAAAATGTTCATTTTGGCATCTCTCTTGAATGTTAAGTACAATCCAACCTTCGTATCTGTGGGTTCCACATCCACGGATTCAACAAGCCATGGATCTAAAATATTTGGGGGAAAAAATGGATGGTTGCATCAGTACTGAACACGTATAGACTCTTTTTCTTACCGTCAGTCGGTATGATAAGTAATCTAGAGATGATTTAAAGTATCCAGGAGGATGTGCATAGGTTACACGCAACTACCCTGCCATTTTATATAAGGGACTCCAGCGGAGTGTTGTCCGCTGGGTGATCCTGGAACCAATCTCCCAGGGATACCAAGGGAAGACTGTGCATTCAGTTTCGCTTAAGTTACAGACACTAAGCACTGTCCAGGACAGTAACCCTTGTTCACCCATCGCATGTCCTTTAGTTATGAAACTGGGACCAGAAGCTTTCCGATTTGACGGCGGTGTTGAAGCCATTGCGACAAGACAAAATGAGAAGTACTACATCCTACGGCCGGAAGTGGTGGAGACTTACCTGTATATGTGGCGACTGACTCATGATCCAAAGTACAGGAAGTGGGCCTGGGAAGCCACAGAGGTGACGTTTTCATTTGCATCTATTTCTTACAGATAAAGGTCATATCAGAAACGTTCAGTGATACCTGTGAGTCTGGCATATCAGCTTTTCTATCGTTCTTAACCTTTGACCAGAGGTTCTTCCACTTGGAACTATGTGTTTTCAGTTAAAGCATTCTATATTCTCAGCTTCAGCTTTGCGTTAAATAACAGTGATATAAGCATGCCTACAGGCAGACTTGAGTCCTGAAGGAGATATTTAGAAAGACTTATCATAAAATTAGGTTCCCATAACCACAGAAATGGTGACCTCTTAATTCTACAAAGAGTTACTTGGGGATATTCTTCTCTGTCGCCTGCTGTTGTGAAAACTTTCCTTCCGCCCAGTATGTTGTTTTAATTGTCACCACTTGGGCCCCTTCCTGCTGAGTCTGGTTTATCATCTTCCTAAACCACTCTGGTGAGCGCTCTGTGTGCCGGATGCCAGAGGAGGCACCCTCAAGCCATGCATCAGACACTGCCTGTCTAATTATAAGAGTTGCTGTTCTGAAAGGAGTGGGAGGGAACTCAGGGGAGAGGAGCAAGCAGTGCTTTAATTTCACTCCCTCATTCTCCAGCACTCTTGGTTAGTAAGTTAGCTGTCTTTAAAAATTGTCCATTAACAGGGGTTTGGCAGTAGTGGGAATCTGCGGGGTGGGGAGGCACACCTCATCAACAAGGGGACCTGCGTAATGAGCATTTGTATACTTAACCCTGAATTGTACCCCACGTCTTTAAAAGAAAAAAATTAAAAGAAATAAATAAGTGAAAACTGACCATCAGGCATCAGAGTAGGCAGGGAACTCATAACCAAGTCCTCAAAAGCAAATGCAGCAAAATCTAAAATTGACAGGTGGGACCTTATCAAACTGAGAAGCTTTTGCTGTGCAAAAGAAACCATCAAGAGAGTAAAAAGCCCACAGAATGGGAAAAAATATTTGCAAGCTAGGCGTCTAACAAAAACCTAACATCCAGGATCTACAAGGAACTCAAACCAATTGACAGGAGAAAAACAACCCCAGACACGTCTCCAAGGAGGACATTTAAGCAGCCAACAAATACATGCAGAAGTGCTCAGCCTCACTTACCACCAGAGAAATGCAGATCAAAGGTACAGCGAGATACCCCCTCACCCTGCTCAGGTGGCCATCATTAAAAAGTCAAAAACAACAGGTGTTGGTGTAGCTGCAGATTAACAGGGGATGCTTCTACACTGTTGGTGGGAATCTAGGATAGTTCAACCTCTGTGGAAAACAGTGTAGCGTTTTCTCAAAGACCTAAAATTTGAGCTACCATATGAGGCAGCAAGCCCCCTTATGGGAATATACTCAGAAGGACATAAATCACTCTTCCAAAAAGACACCTGCACACACATTCATTGCAGCACTGTTCACAGTAGCAAAAACTTGGACCAAACCAGATGCCCATCAAAAATGGACTGAATACAGAAAAACTGTACATATACACAATGAAATACTATGCAGCCAAAAAGAAGAATAAAGTCATGGCCTTTGCAGCGACACAGATGCAGCTGGAACCATCATTCTAAGTGAACGATCACAGAAACAGAAAACTGAGTACTGCACATTCTCATTCATAAGCGGGCCCTAACCAATGGACACACAAGCACAAAGGTGGGAACAACAGATGTTGGGCACGGCTTGGGGCGGGGGAGGGAGGAAGGAGGCGTAAGAGGCACACAGCCACTCCCTGGGCTCCAGATTCACTACCAGCAGAGCGAGGGCTCGCTGAGAAGCCCAGACCCCACCTGCATGCAGTTTACTTATGTAGTAAATCCTCACATGAACCCCATAACTCTAAAATAAAAAATACTGTCAAGATTTTTTTTTAATTCCAACTAAAAAACTGTCCATGAGGATGACTCCTCTCAGGACATCCAAACTGAATGTCGCTCTGTAGTTTTTACTCATGTCCCGGGAGGCTACTGGTGGGCCTTGCTCATGGCTCTTCTTGTTAGCGTGTGTCTTATCAGTGGCCATCAGGCACTTTCAGTCGTGGTGATTCTTTAGGCCTCTTTTTTCTTTTTTCGCAAAGTCTTCTAATTAATCCGTAGTAATTGCAATTTTTTAAAATTTTTCTTTCTCTTAAAAATGTGTTGAAATTGAGTTTTAACTAAGCTTTGGTGATAGGGAATTATCTTGGTCTTGAATTGGACAGCAACGGAATTAAATATCAGTATATGTTGAGAATATCAGTTTAAGTTTAAAATATCAAGAAGAACATATTCCATCAGATCTAAAACACCATACGTTAGTAAGAAGCATCATTATTTTATGTAACCTGAAAAAGAATAACACTGCCGATAAATGGTGTCATGACTACTTTATAGTTGTTGAAATATATGCAGAGAAGACCAAATGGGAAGGAAGGAAATCTCTGTTGCCCGATGGGCAGGCAGCACTGGTTGGCTTGAACACTGGGGGTCGTTTGTAGGTCATAAGGTTGGTTGTATGTTACGATTCATATTTCTTGTCAGCTCCTCAGCATGACGTATGGTGTGAAATCATTTCCCTGCATCACAACATGAGGCCTCTCGTTTTTGCCACTCGTAACCTCTGCTAGAACCTGCGCTGCTTGGTGGGCAAGGAGTGCTGGGGCTCTTGCCCTCTTGGTAGCACAAAATCCCTGACGTGGAAGGTGTGGCAGCACTCCATTCCCGTGGCCCTAGGTTCCATAAGCAGCCCCAGGGGCAGCACCCACAGGCCGGCAGCTCCTGCCTGGAGTGCCCCATGTTTCTCGGTTCCTCTGACACAGATTTTTAAGATTCCCTATGTTTCAGTTTGGGTTCCCTTCATAACAAAGCACAAGATAAGAGTTGGATGCAGGAAGTTTATAGGGGAGGCGATACAGGGAGTGAGCAAGCGGGGCAAGCCGACAGGCACAGAAGAGCCGAGGGAATATGTCAAGCAGGTCACAGCTGCGTGCCACGAGGCTTACTCCTACGTGCTGCAGCCAGAACGTACAGTGCTCTGGGAATCCTGGGAGGGAAATTCCTCTTTCTTCCCCACGTCAGCCCCTCCGTGATCTGAGGACAGCACATTCTGCCAGCTCTCCCTGTCCTTGTCCATCATATCCCTCCACCTTCTTCTTCGGGCAGAGTTTCCGGCTGGGGTCTTCCCGGGCTGAGCAGCGTGACTCAAACCTCCCTTCTCAGCGTGATTTCCACAGCCGGTTGTCCCACCTGTTCTTGTAGTTGATCTCTAGAACCCCCGGCTGACTCTGAAAGGAGGGGCAGAAGACGCTGGCTGTCCTCTGGCCACTGCTGAGAGGCCTCTTGCGCTCTGCTTCTTGTCGCACCCACACTCCGGTTCGTCAGGCATCTGTAAGCCATCGGCCCGTCTTCTGTAAAGCACAGCCTGCCCAGCCTTCTTGCTCTGATGCGCTTGAGAAACTTGCCTTCCATGTCTTCATTAAAGTTCTTAATAATGTCAAATAGGACGTGAAAAAGCGTAGAACCCAGCAATACAACACTGGAGACTCCCTCCTAGGTTAGCAGCAATCCAGTAGCCACAGAGTTCGAGCATGTGTGAGTCTACCTGATAGAAATAATATCTCATATTTCTTTTGCTTTTTCTCAAAAATGTCATGAAAAACTTAAATAAATTCCTGCTAATTAAATATCTAATAGCTTTCTGTGTGAGCTGTATCAGAATATCAATTATGCATATACATTCAATTTGTTATATAATGTCTCAATTGGTCTGGGGTAAAGGATGAAGCCTTGCGTAGGGATTTTGGTTGGGGTGTTTGGGTGGTTTTGTTTTGTTTTTGCACAGACAGTTCTCTCTCAGCTTCTAAGCCTCATCTGTCCACGTAGACATTTTGACCCTCGGAGAGTTGTCTTCTCCCTCCTGCTGCTTCTACCTCCCAGGCTTGATCCCTGATTCTAGACTCTCTTGAGATGTTCAAGGTGGCTGGTTCTCTGTGTTTTATCCATGAGTTCAGACCACGCTCAGGCAGGCAGCCTTGGTAGCAGTATTCCTTGGGATTCACGCTTGGAAACTCCATGGATGAGCCGTTTGTCCAAACTGGTAGATAGGAGACTGCTTTTCCATCCCTTCGGCACATTCTGGCTGGACTTGACCTCTGCATCTTGCTGTTTCCTTCTCTACCCGCCAGCCCCACCCCCACCATCACTGGGAGTCAGGTTTGTCGTCCATCCTTTGTCCAGAGCTCCGTCGCTGTAAACATTCCCAGGCCCTGTTCTCTGCTGTAAGCACATCCATCACATATGGTCACCAGTAATACAAGCATCTGCACAAAAGCAAGGTGCTCATTCTACCTAGAGGCCAAATCCTAAGAAGGGCTTGTCGTGAGATGCCGGTCTGATCAGCCTGTGCTCACAGACATGTGGCTGCTCCCCTGGTCAAGATCCTGGTGGGATCGGGGCCTGTTGCAAGGGCCCAGGAGAGCCACTTGTCCCCAGCTTCACATTCCTAAAGTTTAAAAATTTAAACTTTTGGCATGAAGGTATTTCATGTTTTGAAAGTTAAAAATGCCCCTTTGGTGTTTTTCCTTAAAAAAAAATTGTTTTCATTTACCAATAGCCTCAAAAAGTAGAAGTAGTTAGGCCTCTCTAAACCTCGGAAAGGACCATCACTGCACTACGCGTTTCATCTTCTATTCTCAAACCCCATGTTGAGAAGGACGCAGCCTGGGACAAGGAACCTCTGAGGCCGCCATTATGGGGTCTCTAGCTAGGACTTGGCCCCCCACTCAGAATCTTTTCCTGCGTTCTTGATACTAAAACTTACCCCTTGAGGACTTGGGGAAACAAGAACGAAAAGCTGAGCCTAGAAAGAAGGACATGGGGCATTGGTTACCCCAAAGCAGCGCTCTTTCTATACCAAAAGCAGCAGCTGTAGACATTTCTGAAGGCAGGAAGGGCGGCCGTTTATCATACCTTGCACTCTCATTCGCTCATAACCGAAGAACCTCAAGTGAACAACCAAGAAAAGTTTTGTGGTTAAAATCTATTTAAAGCAACGTCTGGAAATGGGGTTTCATTGTATTCCATCGGAAGTTTGCCCACTTCTAAACCCTGACTTCTTTTTTTTAAGCAAACAATTTTTGGCCTACTCAATGTATCTAGCATTTGACTTTTTAGCCAAACAGTTCTTTTATCAAGAAACAAATAAAATTTAAAAATAAGAGACCTGGAAAGCCTCTTCATGCTCGTCCCCCATTTGGCACATTGTCTGGAACTCAGAGTTTCCTCCAGGCGTCTTTTCCAGTTGATTGTTCCCGTTTTCCTGGGAGCTTTTAAAAAGCACCACATCGTGAGGCGATTTCCTTATTTTCTGTATTCATGCAGCCTGCTGGTCAGACTTTCTTTAACCTGGTAATGAAATGCCTCTCCTCAGGGCCCTGGCTCTCTTCCTTCTGCCCTCCAGCCCTGACGTGAAAAATCAATATCCTCATTATCAGGATCTGCAGATGCGAGCTGAGCTCTCGCGGCCACTCCCAGCTCCTGGAAGCCATGGGGGTGTTTGCTTTCCGCTCCTCTTGTCAGAGCTCAGCATTCCTGGGGCCTGATTTTCCTCCAAAACGCTCGCTTGCTAGCCAGTGAAGATTGTCCTCAACTATTATAGCAAGGTCTATGCTTTCCATCTTCTTGGAAGTTGAGTTAAATGGGAGGAAAATGGGGGATAATTCTGTAAAAAAAAAAAAAGGGGGGGGGAGAGACAGAATTATGATTACTAAAAGGAAGCTGAAAAATGACATGAAAAATGACATGAGAAATTAAGAGTAATTTTAGCTTGTTTATATTTTATTTCATTATCCAACAAATTAGAACTTTAGTCTTAAACTTCATTATTTTTGTCCATAGTTTTATGAATTAGAACCAGAATTCGGATGGCAGTTTTTGTACAATGGAAATTTTTATTTGGCCATATAATTAATAGGATTAGTAGGATGTGGTGAGCAGAAAATTACTTCCTTAGAGATGAGTGTGCCTGGTAACTAGCAAAGCAGCCAGTGTAATTTCAGAAAACAGCACACAAAAATCCCACTCAAAATGAATTAAAGACTTAAGCATAAGACCTGAAACCATAAACCGCCTAGAAGAAAACACTGGGGGAAGAGCTCCTTGACATTGATCTTGGCAATAATGTTTTGGATTTGGTCTAGCACAGGCAACCAAAGCAAAAACAAGCACATTCAACTATATGAAGCTGAAAGGTTTCCCTATAGCAAAGGAAAGAATCAGCAGCCTACGGAATAAGAAAAAATATTTGCAAACCATATATCTGATAAGGGGTTTAATAGTCCCAATATATAAGGAACTCATGTAAATCAGTACCAAAACAAACAAACAAAAAAACCTCTAATTTCAGAATGAGCAGAAAACCTGAATAGATATTTTCCAAAGAAGACATGAAGACATACAAATGGCCCACAGATATATAAAAGGATGTTCAGCATTACTCATCATCAGGAAACTGTAAATCAAAACCCCAGTGAGATATCCCCTCATACCTTTTAAAATGGTGGTTATCAAAAAGTCAAGAGGTGACCAGTGTTGATGAGGAGGTGTTGTACACTGTTGGTGGGAATGTAGATTGGTACAGCCATTATGGAAAACAGTATGAGGTTCCTCAAAAAATTAAAACAGAGCTGCCACATGATTCAGCAGTCCCACTTCTGGGTCTGTCCAAAGGAAATGAAATCAGTACCTCCGAGATACCCACACTCCTGTGTTCACCGCAGCTTGATTTACAGTAGCCAACATAGGGAAACAACCTAAGTGTTTGTCAGTGGGTGAATGGCTCAAGAAAATGTGGTACATATACCAACGGAATTTTTTTCAGCCTTCATAAAGAAGGAAATAGTACCATTTGGAAAAACATGGATGAACCTGGAGGACATTATGCTAAAATAAGCCAGACACAGACAAATACTGTGTGACCTCACTTATATGTAGAATCGTAAAAAGCAAAAACAAAAAAAGTTGAACTTAGAGAAGCAGAGAGTAGCATGGTAGTTATAGGTGGTATTGGCCAAAAGATATGAATTTTCAGTTATAAGGTGAATAAGTTCCGAAGACCTGATGTTTAGCATGGTGTCTAGAGTAAGCAATCATGTATGAGTAGATCTCAAGCATTCTCATACTGGGTTCTTCAGCACCGAGGCCAGTCACCACACACACACACACACACACACAATAACCATGAGGTGGAAACATTGGTGAGCTTGATGGCGGGAGGCTTTTTACAACGTTTACATATGTACATTAAAACATCATATTGTATACGTTAAACTATATACCATTTTTATTTGCCATCATACACCAACAAAGCTGAAAAAATAAAAATAGAAACAAAAGTAATAAAATGGGCTTCTGGAAGGAAAAAAATAAACAGCCGTCAACTTAGTGGCAGGTGACGAAGCAGAAAGCAGTTTAGATTAGGTTACTACCTAAATGTTCATTCCCCGCATGGCCCAACCCATCTCTTTTCCAAACGCTCATTGAGCTCAGACAACTACAGAAATGTGGTTCATTTCTCTCTGGGTAGTCGTTAAGGATTGAACCCATCTTCTTCCATACCAGACTAATGAAAAAATGTATTTTAGGAGTAGATGCCCGCCACATTTCTCTCACTGCCTTTCATTTTCTTTTCACTCTGTCATCAATATCACTGATTCGTACTCTACAATCAGTTTTCAAAAAACAAGATGTTCCAATTATAGCAGCAGCTGTTTTGGGTCCAGGACACTTTCTTAACCAGTAGTTTACAGTCCCCATCGACACTGACAGTCTCTCTAGGCCAAGGGGCAGCAGAGTTTTCCTGTAAAGGCCAGACAGTATCAGACTGTTGCCTCTACTCAACCCTGCCATCGCAGAACAGAACAGCCCCGGACAAACAAGTGAGTATGGCTGTGCTTCAGTAAAACTTTATTTACAAGAACAAGCAGTGGACTGGATTGAGCCTGTTGCCCACAGCCCTGCTCTAGACCATAGGAGGAAGTGGTGGAAATCAGTAGAAAATCATTCCAAACGTAGTAGGTGTTTCTAATTAAGATGTGCTGCTGTCTGTGTGCTTTTGACTTTTCATATTTTATTTCCATTTACAGTTTATGGCTTTTGAGTGTTTTTAACTAAAGCTGTTATAAGCTGGCGCTCCACTTGAATCCAAGTTTTAGAAAATCAGTGTTATCCGAGCTCTGCAGTGTGATAAAGTAAAAGTGAGCGACAGTCGGTTTCCCAAGCCGTGACCGTCCTTCTCCCCTTGGTTTCGCAGGCCCTGGAAAGTCACTGCAGAGTGAACGGGGGCTATTCGGGCCTCCGGGATGTGTATCTCCTGCACGAGAGCTATGACGACGTGCAGCAGAGCTTCTTCCTGGCAGAGACGCTCAAGTAAGTGGAGCTTTTCTAAAACCACGGACCCGGGGTGCCCTGGCCGACCCTCTTTATAGGCGTCTTTGTCATGAGCACGTTTAAATAACGCAGAGGCGGACCGATTCGGAAGGTCATTCTCCAGGCGGGGCTCTACCTGCAGGTGTGTTTCTCGTGGCCACCAGGTGTGATGACTCGGGGCGCCAACACAGAAGCACGGAGTGGCTTCCTTGCCACCATAAGGCATGCGGCCCCACTGGGTTCTGGTCCACTTGCCTGTTGTCCATGGCTCCCTGTAAGATGAGCGTGGCTGTCCCTGTCTTTGTGGTTCCTTGCCTGCCTGGTTCCTTGGGCCTCACGCACTCATGTTTCTCTCACCAGATATTTGTACTTAATCTTTTCTGATGACGACCTCCTTCCACTGGAACATTGGATCTTCAACACCGAGGCCCATCTTCTCCCTATACTCCGTACGGGCAAAAAGGAAGTCGAAATCCGAGAGAACTGAAAAGACATTTATACTGTACTCTGCTCCATTCCCCTCACTGCATACCTTAATAATTCCTTTTCTGTAATCAGGCATATGATGAACTTTCATTAATAGGCGTGTGATTATTCTAAGTTCTTAAATTGTTTTGCAGTCTTTTATGTATACTGTCATAGGCATAGATGGACAATTCCTTATCATTATCCCTTATTACCCAGCCAGTAGATCCACCCATTTTTTTGTTTTTCAGTAATCTGTTATCTCTAGAGTTAATGAAGTTATGATATCATTTTTATTAAACTGAACAGAATGGTGTAGCAATGACCTCTTAATTACAATTTGATTTGACTGCAAAACTTTTTCCTCCTCTATGAGGAGATGATGTCTGCTTTAAGCTGTAATGTTTTGCCATGTTGCAAAAAGCCATAATAATAAATTAAATATTAAAAAAGGTTTTTCCTTTTCAGTTTCATGTTAATCTGGTTTGTCTACCCACCAGAGACAGATCTCAGAACTGTGACAGCCACCTCATGCGGGTCTATCATTATTTGATAGGATGTCTTCTAAAATATGTCACTCATATTATAATTCAAATTAGAAAGTCATTCCAAAAGGATCGTCTTGTGTTGACCCTATTTCACTGGAACCACAGTATGTTTGTGTAGGCTAACGATATTAGTGTTTCCTGATTTGTGAGTGTGTCCTTTAATTTTCCTATAAGTGCCCTGTGTCCTTTCTGGATCATGCACTGGTCACTCCTTCTGTTTCCTGCCACACAAAGAGGTGAGCTCTCCATTCTGCGGAACACTGCTATCACTGAATTACATCTTCTTAAGGGAAATAATCTAATGTTCAATGTGTGAGTTTTGGCTTTTAGCTGAACGGATGAAGAAGCGGGGTCTCGAAAAAGATATTTCATATGGCTTTTAGTTCGGTTGCTTTTATTTCATCTTTACTTTTCTTGAGAAAATAAAGCATTCTGTCTGGTTCAGGTTTGAAAAGGCCCTTTCTCAAATGTAGTAAATTGTTTCATTTTAATTTATGACAGCAAGATTGGACTCTGTGAAGGAAGCTTTGCCAGTATACTTATTTATGGTCAGTTAAGGAAACTTCAATAAACCTTTAGGCCAAATAAGAATCTGGTCTATTTAGTATGGCTAAATTCAACATGGGGACCCTAACTTAGAAGCAGCATACAGAAATACTCCCGGTCCCCAAATACTAGGGTTCTTCTGAACATTAAGCTTTGAAATATGGTTTTCCCAAGAATAGATTTGGTGGCACCTTGTGTTTCCTTATCATACTGGTTTGAAATCTATATTTTCATGAAAGGGCAACTATGGCGATGCATTTGGTGACATACAAAGACTTTGACCGCCTACATTTTCAACCTGGAATGGTCAGACAGATCAGTGCAACCCCATGGATTAAGCTGAAGCGTATGAAATTGCTGCAGTTGTATTTTTAAAAACTGCCCAATATCAGCAGTTTCATATAGTTCAACTTAATGTTTTTTTAAGAGAATTATTTTCTTAGATCTCAATAGACTTAATAGTTGTAGTTATTTCGGCTTCTGAAAGTGTTAGCGATCTCCCGTGTCTGACAGGACCACCTTTGTGATCTGCTTTGACTTTTCTTCAATATTGTACATTGGTATATGTCAAAAAATCAGTTAGTGAAATTAGTAAATGAAAAAGTTCTTCAGAACATCGTTATTACCATGTCAGTGTCTCTGATCCAGAGTAACTTCTCCCACTCATATCTTCAGCCCACCTGATGAAATAAGCGGAGAGTAAGAGCCCTTTGTTCCCAGGACTTTAAGGCAAAATATAAAAAATGATTGCCAAAATTGGGCCATATGTATTTAGATTATGGTTTTCATGTGAATGTCCTTGGGCTAGCGATTTAAATTCAATTATTTTCTACTCTTTGATTTTAAAGAGCACATAGGTGATAAGCACTTCTGCAGCAGGTAAAGGAGGTAAGACTGACCCTACCCCACCCTCAAATCAGGTTTTGTGTATGGACTGACTGCACTGTCGTGTAGCTCCCGGTGTGTCCTGGTTTGAGGAGACAGAGCCGTGCTACCTGTCACACTCTCAATGGCAAGAATTACGTGTTTGCAATTCTAGAGCTTGAATGTTTTAACAAAAGTCCTAAAACACCAAAAATGTAAACAAGAGATTAATATTATGGTGATGTGATTTCATTAAGGTTATACTTTGTGTTAGTTTTATCAACTGAAGTCTTTAAATAGAACTTTCATTTTCAAAACTGTGCAGTTAAACCTCTATATGTAGTCACATCCTGAAAGGCGAACAGTTAAAATAGCACTTAACTTTGTGTTTATGCAATATGTTGATATACTTTGTGCAATTAATATCACACATATAAGTTGTATGGCAAATTGCAGAACTCGATGACTTGTCATGACTTTGTCATGTGTACTATCCATTTTTACTTTGATTATTCTTGATTTGCACATAAATCCATTCTTCCCTTCCACTTTGTATAAATCAATGTTATGAGAAACATAATAGATTGACACATAATTTTTAAAAATTATATTTGTAAAATTTCTCTATGGTGAATAAAGTCTTTTAATATATCTCCTCATGTGTTAAATTTGTCTCCTGTATATGGAAGTGAGTGTCTTCAGCTGCACATGGAAAGGTGAGATCCTACTCGAAGTTGCCCACCACTCCTAGAACCTTGACCAGGAAACACTTCCTACTGAGAAACTTTACATTGCAAATAGCTTTTCATACACAGCCTTTGGTTAGTTTTGTCTCTTTATGAAGGATCTAACGTGTGTTCACACCAGATTGGGCGGGACCGAGAGCTGGAATCAGAAATAGCGTGAAGTGCGATCCTTGTTGATAAGTTTGCAGTCCAGTTAAGGAGGTAAGACTGACCCTACCCCACGCCTCAAATCAAGGCAAAAGCAGAATTTAGCCGTGTCCGTTTACCAGCCAAATTCTGCTGTAGAAGCTCAGGAGACCCGGAGGCCCATAGGGTTGGAGGGTCAAGAGGCTTGCAGGGAGAACTTACGCCCCAGGACAGCCTCTGAGGTGTCTGAAAGAGCTCAGGTTGCTCAGATTCCTACTGTCCTTGCTGGAATGTTTCAGATGTTCTGGCTGCTCTCACCTCTGCCCATAGAATGTGTGTCACTCACTCCTGACATCATTCAGGTCTCTGCTCAGCTGTCACCTTGCCAGAGTGGCTTTCTTGGCAGGTCAGCATAAAAACTCTCCTCCCTCTTTTGTCTCTTAGCCTATTTCATTTTCAACGTAGCATTGATCATATTACATACTCATTTCCCGATTTACTGTCATTCTAGCCCCTTACTGTTGAACTCCCTGAGAACAGAAACTTTCCCCACCCCACCCCCCACCCCGCCCATTTCTCTAGTGCTGGGCAGCGCCAGTACTTGATGTGGTCACAGTGAATATGAACAAGTGAGACTTCAGCTTATATCCGTAGTCTTGCTACAACTATTTGTGAGTGTCTTTTAATAAACAGTATAGAACAGACTCAGTGGCTCAGCCTGTCATCCCAGCACTTTGGGAGGCTGAGGCAAGTGGATGGCCTGAGCCCAGGGATTCGAGACCAGCCGGGCAACTAGGCGAGACCTTGTCTCTACAATAAATCGAAAATTAGCCAGGTGTGGTTGTGCGTGCCTGTAGTTCCAGCTCCTTGGAAGGCTGGGGCGGAAGGATCGCCAGAGCCCAGCAGGTCAGCGCTGGAGTGCCCGTGAGTGTGCCACTGCACTCCAGACTGGGTGACAGCGAGACTCCAACTCAAAAATAAATAAAATATAAACTGTAAAATATTAAAGTTTATGCTTGTGACTAGAACTTAGTCAACAAATTATTTTGTACTTTTTTGAGTCAGAGTCTCACTCTGTCGCCCAGGTCGAGTACAGTGAATGCACGGCCACCACAACCTCAACCTACTGGGCTCGGGCGATCCTTCCAGCTCAGCCTTCCAAGTAGCTAGAATCACAGGCATGCACCACCACACCCGGATTAATTCTTTGATTTATTGTAGAGACGAGGTCTCACCAAGTTGCCCATGCTAGTCTTGAACCCCTGGGTTCAGGCGATCCTCTAGCCTCTGCCTCCCAAAGTGCTGAGATTACAGATGTGAGCCACCATGCTCAGCCTCAACAAATTAAACCACTTATAACATTAAGGTGCCACATATATTTAAAAAAACAAAAATCCTATTACAACAGCATCAAGCAAAGGAATTTTTCCCTAACACTGAGTCAAATGGGAACCTTTTGAATTCAGTTACTGGTAACACAATGATGTCAGTTGCATTTATCCTGTTGGTGACAGAATTATTAAAATATATTCTAAGCATGATTTTTATTTATACTAACCATCAACCATCCCTACCGCGGTGGCAGCTTGGCATCCAATACACCTAACTTCTGATAATGATATGTAGATGCTTAATTTTTAAGTTAACAAGATAAAATTTTTTATTGAGGCGTAGAGTTTATATATTCAGTTATCATTCCAGCTCTCTAGCTTGTGGCTGAAATGTGAGGTGGGAAAGGGGAATTTTATCAAACTTTTTAACGGAGTTAATGGCCCAAAGGCAGATTTCTGTCTTTTGCAGGCCCATTCCACCCCACTAGCCAGCACGTGAGTCATAGTTTTCTAGAAATACTTGTCAGGCATCGGATACGCAGTTTTGTTTGTTTGTTTGTTTGTTTGTTTTGTTTTTGAGTTGGAGTCTCACTCTGTCGCCCAGACTGGAATACAATGGCCGCTCCCGGCCACCGCAGCCTCCACCTGCTGGGTTCTGGCGATCCTTCCTCCTCAGCCTTCCAAATAGCTGGAATTACAGGCGTGCGCTACCACGCCCGGCTAATTTTTTTGATTTATTGTAGAGATGAGGTCTCGCCTGCCCAGGCAGGTCTCAAACCCGCGGGCTCAGGCAATCCACTCACCTCAGCCTCCCAAAGGCGCGGGATTACAGGCTGAGCCACCGAGCCCGGCGGATACACAGTTTAAGACTGGAACTACACAGGAGTCTCGACAGCGCTTGGTCCAACTCTTATTTTGGAGTGACTGGTTGGAAACAACATATACTCTCATAGGTAGTTTTTTAAAAATCAGCATAAAGCACCACACCCCTGTGTCTGGCAGCACAGAGCAAGGAGAGAAACCAATTTTTATCTCGGGAAAATCCCCCAATGTTCTATTTAAAATGAAAGTGTAAGTTCAGCGATCCCCCCTGGAAATTGGTCTGCTGCTGTGTTTCTCTCTCTGGAGGTTACAGTTCATCTAATCAGAATATCTTGTGAGGCTTGTTAAAACGCAGATTCCAGAAGCTTCCCCCAAATCTCACAAATCAAAATTGCAATGGAACCCTGGAATACTCATGTTTGATCAGCCCTTTGTGTTCTTCTACACATTCCAAAGTTGAGAAACAAGTAAGTTTTACATAGATGGAAGTCCCAAGATCAGCAGGACAAATAATGAATTCATTAGCAAATTATGACAAGCATGTATGCCTTCTCCTATATTTTTTTTTCCACCTCAATATCTGAGGACAGCTTGACATATTTTGGAAACATAGATCCTTCCTCTCCCAAAAGCGTTTCTAAGCAATACATGTAAATCTTTTAGAAATAGATTCACACTGGATTTTTTAATGTAATTCTTTCTTATTAGAGGAATCTCAAAAGTATTAACTTGTCATCCCTGTTTTTATTCAGTGATTGTTTCATTTGTTTTCTTCTCCCAATAACTGCTTTTTTTAAGTCATGTCTCAAATCGTGTCTTCGGTTCTTGTTGATTTTAACATGACTGTCTCTTGCCCAGACTACACAGACTTCCTAGTTTGGCTACGCATCATGTAAATGTATAAAATGTTCTTGGAAATGACCTCTGAAAAGCACCTTCATTCTCCTGCCCCATGTTTTTACATTCATTGCAATGCTAATCGCCAAAGATTTGTTGGCTTGCCATTATTATGATCACTTTGACTCCCCTTAGAACACGCCATTACTTACTGAATAAATTAACTTAAATTTGTGTCACAGATCCATTCAATTCCCCAGTGAATGCAAATTACCATGAAACATTAGAAAACAGTGATAGATGTATAGCTTTTTTAAAAACTTTTTCACGTATTAGGATATCTTGGCCCTAGGCTATAAGTACATATTAATTCACAATTATGCAAGCAGGGCCATAAAATGTACTGCTTTGCAAATAGAATTTTCCAAAACGACTGACACCTGAGAGACTTTTTTGTTGTTTTTTAATTCTCCTTGGAGAAACAGGTAACGGATCCTCGTTCAGGGAATCTTTGAGAACTTTACTCCCGACTCTCCAGCTCTTTGGGAGTTCTTTGTGGAAAACAAAAACCCATAACGTTTTTCTTTTTCTGAATTTTTTTTTTATCTTAAAGATACGGGGTCCAATTTAGGATTAGGCATTCCAATGGTCATCGTACAGGTAAAGTTTGGGCCCGAAACCCATGACTTACAGCCACCTCTCTTAGAACCATGACGGGAGACCTCTGTGTCAACTTCTTGAGGCAGGCCGGGTGCCACCAGGTGCCCTTTGTGTATGGGACAGCTTTGGCTTGTCGGGACCCAAGACTCTCTAGTAAGGGGCCAAAGGAGAAGCAAACGACGTCGCCTCCCTCCTTGGGCAAAACCTCTCCCATTCGGTACAGCACTTGGCCCTCACCGGCCACGTAAACCCCGAGGGTCTTTCACGCTCAGCCACATTCCTCTTCTCTCTTGCGCCTGTCGAATGGACCGCTTTGTGGTTGACACAGTCCTAGGAGCTCAAAAACAGATGCCTTTGAAAGGCATTAAACGAGGGCAAGTCCCTCCGGGCTCTCTCCCGCTGGCGCCGCAGCATCCAAGGGGCGGGAAGGGCGGCAGGTGGGCCGGCGGCAGCAGACTTCGCCAGGCAGCAAGGCAAGCGGATGCCAGGCGCGGCTTGTGTTGCCAGCTCCCTGCGCATTCTGGAGTCCTCCCGGCCCCTCGCCCGGGGCTGCGACGTGAGGGGTGGCTGGCCCGGGCCCCGCGGCGGCTGCGCGCTCACGGGCGTCTGCGGTGGATGCTCCAGCCGGCCCAGCGGCACGCCTGGGATTCCCCCTCCGTGCCCCCGAGACCACCCGCCCGAGTTGCAAGACATCAAAATGGGGCGCCTTCATCCCTTAAACAGGAGCAAGCAGACCTGCTTCCTGGAGAACCAAAGTACCGGGCCCGCGGGAAAGGCCTCAGCCCGGCGCCGGCCGGGAGGCGCCTCCAGGCCCCAAGTTCCCGCCGCCCTCTCCCTCCTGGCGCTGTGGAAGCCTGGTCGTCTCTCCTCTGCCTGGGGCAGCCTCCAGCGGGCTGTTATGGCAGCACATCGCCGTTATGCCGCCTGCGTCTCCAGCCACCCTAGGCTTTTTGGGTGCCTCCCTTCAGTCGACTGCTTCCAACGCATGTTACTGCTCCTCTTTCCAAGGTCAGAGCGTGGCTTTTATTTTCTGACCAAGAAGACGGAAACGGCTCTCCTTCACGCCTGTATCACGCACGAATGGAACGAGTTTCCAGTCGTTGTTTTGTTGGAGAGCAGGCGTTTGCGGGGGG